TGCTAGAATGTTATTTCTCTAAAACCCTGGCCTCTCCTTCTAGCCTGTAACCCTCCACATCTTAGCCAATTTTCACTTACGTCTTTTTCTCCCAAGTTTCAGTTTTTAAAATGCAGAGTTTTCCTGACGTGAAATGGACTTCCAGAGATGATGCAAGAGGTTTTTACTTATCACTGTACTAGGTTTTGCTCATTTGGAATACTATAGTGATTTCCAGCAAATGTTTTCTTTCTTTCCTTGTCAAAGGTGTTATAATATAGACTAATTTTTGAAAACAAATTCTCTACATATATATTTATTTCACCATGTAGAAAAACCTATTAGATTTTTTAAAATTAGATTTTATACACCCAAAGGAATTCATTAACACTCTTTTACTTACCCTTTGTTAAAAGCACTCTGCAGATACGGCACTTTTATTGCAGTGTAAAACAAAACTTCTCCTCCAAGGTTTTCTTATTTTAACACCTACAGGGGTCTCTGCAGAGTGACGGACGACACACTGGACTTCTATTTTAACATCTCTCATCATCATTTCCAATAACAACGATGATCCTGAAACTTGTATGTTTTGAGAGTGGAACTGTCTGATATTTGATATTTGAGAACAACTGTGATTAATCATACATATGGAATGACCCATTTTAAAATAAAGATTTTCAGAACTTACATTCTTTCAAGGAAAAGTAGCACATCCACTGCAACCCACTGCACATTGCCCCAAGTCTAGTGACAATATGATTGAGATGTTCCGGTCTCCAGAGTTTTATAGTCTCATGGGTGACGTTGCCTGGGGAAAGGTAATACAAAGCCATTAATGAAAATACACACATTTTTCGAGAGGAGAGAAATATCTTTTAAGTATGAGGAGGAGAAAAATATTCCATTCACCTTTAGCAGTACTGGAAAGGAAAAGCAACCATGTCTGCTCAGCCAACAGGGGACATATTGGTTGTGCTTGCAGAAAGGGGTGGAAAGAAGCTTCTGGAACGCTTTTCAGGGTGACTTCACGTTGCTCAGGTTCCAGTCTTCCACCATGCCCTTTCAATACCTTCTTTTTCACATCACTGACTGCAATGAGGGTCTGCTGGATGCTTGGTGTTGTTATTCTTATTGCTACCAATTATGGAGCATTTGCCATGCGTGTTCTCCTGTAATCATCACACCAACTCCATTTAGCAGATGAGAACTTTATATAACTTGTTCAGGGTCACTTATACAGTAAGTAGTAGAGATGGGAGTGGAGTCCAGGCAGCCTGGCTCCTAAACCTGTGCTCTTGTTCTCCATACTATCTTATGTCTCTGAATAATTATACTACTAATAACAACAGTGACGACAATAAAAAAAAATCACTTGTTGAGAATATACTAGAATGAGTGCTCGATGAGGTAGGTATTTTATCGCCATATTAAAGGTTAAAAAATAAAGGTAGCTCAGACAGATTAAATAGTTTTCCCGAAGCTGGGCAGTTGGTAAGTAATAAAGCATCTCCCAAAGTATGTTCTGCAAAATATGATCTCCACATAACAGATTTGCCATGGTCACGTAAGTGTGGAAACCATTGTACCTCTAGGAGCTTCACAGTACATGTCGAGATATTAAAGCTTCCCACAAAGGCTGCAGACTGTGTCAGAATTTCCCAAACTGGTTTAGCTGTGGTGCTTGCTTCCAGTACCTACCAATATCACACAGAACTAGCCCTGCATTCTGCAAGGATGAACTGAATTGAATCATGCTCACTTAGTACTAGTTGGGCTCACTAGGCTCAGGCTTCCATTTGCACCAGACTGATGAGAACAAAATGCTAGAGAAACACTCCCCAGTGTCGTCATTCCCAGTAAGTCAAGCTACTTGGAAGGCCAAGACAGAGAACTCGCACATGCATTTGGGGGGACGCATTGTCTTGTGGCAGGTAGGCATAAAAGTAGATAAATCCTGGAAATTATTCAGTTCCTTGATCCCATCTAACCTGGGCTGTGGTCTCCTCCCAGTCAACCCCTATCCAGTACCTTACAGTTCCTCCAGCATCATATTCATTACATTGTAATACATAGTCAAATTTTCATTTCTGATATGTACCACAACTGTGTTTCCCTAGCTTAAAATTATTAGGCATAGCTGCCTATTCAATATTTATATCCCTGTTTCAGATAGCAACATGAAATGGTAAACTATAGAAGTCTTAAAGAAGAAACTGGAGAGAATATTAACTGCATTGAGTGCATATTTAGGGTCTAAAATTATTTTAAAATTATTGATCAATGAACTGTTTCAACAAGTAAAATTTAATACAAACAATTGCAAAAGCAAATATGACACAGTAGCAACATGGCAAGCAACTCATAGGGATCTGAACTGAATTTCAATCCATTATTGATAGAAATGGCTTTAGAATGCATTCTTAAGGTTTCTGCTTCACCAGACACAATATAAATCTACAGTACAATGTGAGTGTTAAAGTCAATAGTGATAGCATGAGCTGAAATAACAGAAATACGTAATTTATTTTAAAAGATAGAATGGTCTTGTTATACTTTACTGGAGAAAACACAACAGGAATAATGTACTTAACTCTAGGGAAAAGTCTTCAAGACAGAAACTGAAAAATGAAATATACTCCAAAGCAGAGTGCTAGGTAAAAGTCTTGGAAATAATTTCTTAAATAACCATTAAAGAAATGGAGACTTTTAATGAAAGGACACCAAAGAGCCATACTTAAATGCCTAAAGAGCATCACATGGAATTAGTAGATGACTTATTTTATCCTTGTGTAGAAGTCATGACCAAAATTGATGCTTGGAAAAATTACCAGGAAGCAGATGTTCATCTTAAGAGGACTAGAGTCATTTAAAAATCTACCATCTGGCCTGTAAGAGATAGTGAGTTCCCCATTCAGTAAGAGGCTGGCAGCCCAAGCACTAAGCTTTCATGAAGAGGTCTCACTCAGCACATAGCTGGTCTACCAGATGGCCCTGCAGGTACCTTTGCCCCTGAGTTTCCATGAGGCTGTCATAGGATGATGTTCTTTTCATTGGTGCCTATAAGTGGAGAACTAATTAAGCTCATTTCTGAGGACATAGAATTTTAGATATTAAAAAAAAAGAAAATTATTAAGAGGCCTTGTGCTAAGAAGGAAAACCAGAGGAGCTAATGATCAAAGCTGTGTCACTGGGAACATTTATATTTCTTCAGCTGTCTCTTAGACTTGTACAATACTGGGGCTTGTGACTGTAATAAAGCCAGACAACTTGGGATGGAGATAGCCTGGGGAAGAGAGGTCTAGAACAATTAAACACCTTCAGCCCACAGCATTAATGGAAAGCAAGTACCCTTTTGGGGGTCCATGTGGTATGACAGGGTTCTAAGGTAAGGTAAATAAAGCTTTCTGGTGGCTGAAGCTCCCCAGTCACAGTAACCAAGGGTGCACCATGCCATGTAAAGTGATTCCATCAGAGCCGAGGCTCCATGAGCGGTACTACACCTATAGTCTCACTATGTGCCAGATCCATTGTGCTGTGTTATCCAATCTTCATAGAAGTTCCTAAGGGTTTAGCATCCTTATTTTAACAGTGAGAAAGTTCAGTCAAGTGGCTAAAGTACCTTACCCAGGTCACTTGGAGACCTGACATCCAAACTCAGTGTTACTCGAATTGAGAATCTATCAAGACTATCAGAATTTCCTAGACTTGAGAGGATCATAAAGAATCTGATGTTTTGTTTTTACCTATAAGGAAAAACAAGAAGCAAAGATCCTTCATGGGATTCCTCTGTGAACAGCAAAGATGCCTCTGCATGCACACAAGCCCAGTAGCTGTGCTTTCTCTACACTCTGCCTGCGGTATTCAAAGTAACCACATAGCTGGCAGTGTCAGGGCCAGAGAAGGAGGGCCAGAGACAAGTTTCTCCATGTAACTATCCGACCTTCTTTCCACAGTATCCCTGAAGCACTCCAAATACACATACAGAAATTAGTCTCCAGATTCTATCTGCTAAAATATAGTGTAGACAGGTACTGTTATCCTCTTATGAAGTAATTACTTATGGAAAAGAATGAGAAAGTGGTAGGGTGGAAGCTAAACTCTATTCAGGGATATCATGCATCAGATACTTGCTGGCTTCTTTTATCCGTGTCATCTCATGTCACTTTCCTTTATGTCATCTCCTGCATGGTGCTGCTACAGAACATGTTAGTCTGCAAAATAAATGCTGGAGATTTCACTTTATGGTGAGGAAGTGAGTTTAAGCAACATATTCAAAATTAATGACTAGTAGGTGCATAACTGAATGTATACTCCTGATTTCAAAAGGCAGAGAAGCCTGTAGATCGTGACATCAGGCACACCGGGGTTTGACATCCAGATGGGTCACAGAGTGGCTAAGAACAGCAAGGCTGGCTTCTTCCCGCACACTCCGTACTTATCGCATAGAAACTCTGGTTTCCTCTCCCCGGATGTGCTCCCTCTCTTTCCTGCCTGTGAAGGGCCAGATCTACTTTTAGAACTATACAAGGAGGGGACATTTGACCCTTCCTAATGTAAGAGAATTTTGGATTAACGGCCACTTTGTCCTTAGAGCAACCCTTTGAGGCTTCGTCACATTGAAAATTGACAGTGACTGTGTCCCATTGGGAGGCATAGTCATGATGAGAGGAGACTAACATAACAAAAACCAGCATGAGACTAAGAATCTGAAAACTCCAACGATGGCCCTTGCTTTTCTGTGTCTAGATCTGTAAGATAGGCATCTGTCTCTTCCCAAGAGTATCCTGTGATCTAAAATGAGATCATGGGACGAAAAAGCTTTTTAAAAAGCTCTCTTCCAAAGCAATAATGTCACAAGAGACTGACTCGCAAATCATCTGTTTCCTCCTTCCCCATATGCAATTCAATCCAACAGACATTACACCTTCCCATCTTTAGGAAAAATAATCTCTTGATTTTTGAGCTCGTGTTTAAACCAAAGTCACTTAATAGTTTCCTTCAATTTTCTCCATGTTCAGATTACCTCAATGTCACAGATATTCACCTATTCAAAGAGAAATGGGACAGCAACAAGATCGACCATCACACTGACAAGTATGACAACAACAAGTTGATTGTCCGGAGAGGGCAGTCTTTCTACGTCCAGATTGACTTCAATCGTCCATACGACCCAAGGAAGGACCTCTTCCGGGTGGAATATGTCATTGGTGAGTGCAGAGGGCAAGCCCTAGTCCTGATACCATGGGGCAGATAGCAGAAGAGAATGGGCACAGCTATGGCTGCATTGTGTCCTGGCATCATATTCAGCATTGCTAGGTCTGGGTTTATCTAGCCCCTGGATCGTTCTGTTCTAAGATTGGTCTGCATCATGCCAAATATCAACAATTTGAGCCTGCTCTAGAGAAAAATCTAGTCTAATAATGATTAGCACAATTGTTAGGAAATTTTAGTTTAAATTAGTTTTCTGCAAGCTTTTGGTATTAGCGTTCTATAGTTAAGACCTTTAATTTATCATCATAACTTAATTGCTTTTGTGTGCTGAAAATATTTGCAAAAAAAATTATAATGCGACAAATACTCAGTGCTCTGTGCGGATCAGCTGATGCCCATGTGATATGCTGCGACAGCTCTGCTGCAACTATAAGGGAATTTTTTTTTTTATGTATTTCGTACAAGGTCTATAGGGAAGGAATTTTTTTTTTTTTTTTTACTTCTGCCATGGCAGTCTCAGAAAGAAAGATGAATGTGTTAGGCTGAGTTCCTAGGACAAACCTTGAGAAGGATATTTTGTGCCCAGATTTTACTGAAGAGTATTCTCAGGGGCCACAGCTTGGAAGAAGGGAAGGGAGGAGTTAGTAATGGGCAAAGAGAGGAGTTAAATAAGAAGGCAACAAGGACCTCAGTGGACTCACTGCGCGCTCTGGGACTGGGCTGCATCTTCAGAGTTGCCCCATTTCAAGGCAATGAATGAGGGCTGTGGATATAGTTCAGTGGCATAGGTGCCTTCCTGGCAGGCACAAGGTCCTGAGTTCAATTCCCAGTATTCTTTAAAAAAAAAAAGCTTGAAGACAATGAATGAGAACTGTTAACTCCCCACATTCGCAGCACGGGGATGATCTGGGGTGCATACAACAGCATCCGCCACTGGGAGCACCTCAAGTCCTTTTTTAAACTAGAAATAGTATAACTTCTACTCATCAGTAGAAAGGAAGACAAACCACACTAAATCTTTCTTATAAGATGAAAACCTATGTATTTCTTAAACCAACACGCACTTTATGTCTTCGTCGAGCCATCCTGCGTACTGCCAGAGTAAAGCCTTACTCCAGTATGGGTGGATCCTATAGTGTTATGACCCTGCAGAACCTTCTGGTTCCAAATGTGTTATACATACAAAAAAAGAAAAATGACAAAATTCCAAAATTTTGTTATTTAACAGATAAGAAATCAAGTACAGGTAGGAATCAAAGGATCAGCGATGAGGAATTGCCTTGATTGGTGGCCTTTCTGTGTCCCATGAGATGCAGGAATTGGCAGGACAATCTCAACTTCCACATTGCAGCAGTGCTAAGAGTGGATGGGGAGAACATTGTTGAACACACACTGGGGCTCAGAAGTAAGCTTCTTAGAATGTAGCACTTGTTTCAATAGGATGAAAGAAAGCCATAGAAATTAGATTTTAAATAAAATTGCTATAATGCAAAAAGACAAATATCCAACATGAACTGGAAACGCAATTGCATACAAGGTTTGTATCAGCAAGTGCACCTCAATAGCAGGAAACCTAGGATGCGAAAATACTGGTCTGAGCAACAGAAAAGACAGCACTTTGCAACAACAATAGTAAGAAAGGCTTTTCAAATATCTCTTCTAGAGCATTATCACAATGAGATGAATCAAAGATCAATTAAAGTACTGCTTTTTAGGAACCTAACCATTGCTTAGAGAAAGCTGCTGTCATATTAAAATCATAGAAAAAAAACCCTTTACACTTAATAGCTTCTCATTTGTGGTCATCGCTTCACTATGGCTCTGTTCCAGCTCCTTATGACTGCAGGTAAGGCAGGGGATGGTCACACTTTGAAGTGTTGCTTTATTGCTGCTCTCAAAACTTAGGTCATGGGACTATTTATATGCGATGCTACCTTGTAGTCACATTTGTTCCTTCCTTCCTTTACTCCATGCTTCCTCCCTTCCTCCTTTCCTCTTTTCCTTTTGTCCTCTTTTCCTTCTCTTTCTCCCTTTCCTTCTCTTCTTCCTATTTTATTGAAGTAAACAACATTTTAATATTGGAGCAATTACTTTTTTAATATTTAAGTCCATATGTTCTGGGTTCTCTGAGTAGATCAGATTGACAGGAGAGCCAGGCTATTCCCAATGCCAGAGTTTTTTGAGCTTGTGTTTGATAACTGCATTCATTAGTTGCTTGCAGAGCGGAGCTTTCTGTGAGCATTAGGTGGGAGGTGTTAATGAACTTGAAGAGGTGGGTGAGGAGGGAACGTGTGCCCAGCAGCCTTTTCTTTCTTTTCACCTTTCTGCCTGCAGCCATGACAAATCATGAAAGCCTTGGAACAGAGCATTAATTATAGGTTTGCTAACCTGTGGCTGGAGCCGGGAGAGCTCAGGAACAGCTTGTGGTGTTAACTTGCTGTTACCTTTACATGGACCCCCTACTTCTTTGATACTCACCCGAGACAGAGAAAACCTTTCTAAGGAAAGAATTCTGTCTTCCTTGCCAGCTCGCCCTAGACAAGATGGGTCAGCCCTCCTGAGTAGCCACAGGGCCCATGGGGAAGTTCCTGAGGTTCAATCCCAGAACCCCAAGGGCAACAAGGAACTCAGAGTCTCTTGACCTCTTTCAACCCTGCCATGGCTCCACAGCTCCATGCTTCATGCCTCTGGTCACAGAGCAAAGAAGAGGGGAAGAATGGTAACGGAAAGTTCTGTCACAGTTATCAAGGAAAAATAACTTCCTAGAAGCTTCTAAGAAACTATAACTGTCTCATTTTCTATGCTTATCCTTTCTATGCTTAAGGGAAACTGTGAAAGTAACTCTCTTTTTAGCCCTGTGGAAGAATAGGGTTAAGAGAGAGGTAAAGACAGGTGTGGTGTGCACCCGTGTTGTATGCTAGGCACCCCTTATTGTCTGCCATCTCATGGCAAAGTATTCAGGTGCCTCCCTTCATGCTAGCTCTGAATTTAAAAAGAAGATTATTTAGAGGTTTTAGAGGCTGAAAGTTCAAGATCCAGTTGCTTCATTGGTTCTGCCTCCAGGTGGCCATGTGAGAACACAACAGATAACTCCACGGTGGGTGCACACAAAAAAGGGAGAGATCACATGCAGATGCCAGGAGCAGAGAGGGCCAGGCCAGGCTTGCTCCTTCTATAACAGCCCATTCTACAGGAACTAAGTTTACAAGACCAGCATTAAGCTTCTTCAAAGAGAATTCCCCCAGTGACCTACTTACTTGCTCCTGGACCCACCTCTTCAAGATTCTCCCACATCCCAAAACCACTACAATGGGGACCAGACTCCCAGCATGCAATCTTTGGGGGACACTTTCAAATCTTAGCAGTTTATAAGCCAGTTCTTTAAGACAGTGTCTCCCCATCAATTTGTAAGTCAAAGAAAATTACCATACCAATGTGTGATTTTCACATCCATAGCATGGTTTCTCCATTGAGAAATTTCTTTGCCTAAATCATGCAGCTGGTAGTCTACAGAAAAACGTGTTTCACACTGCTGTATCTACCATGTTGTGCTGCATCTCACTGGGAAAAGGCTGGTTTCTAATTTTGAAGGAACACTTCTATAAGATGTCGTTTCCAATTCTTGCTCCTGTGGGTGCTACATTGATGATAAATGTGTTCGTTTCTAAGCTTCTCTGTGAAGTAACCAATAATGGCATCTATGAAAGTAGGGCAGTGTTTCCCAGAGTGCTTTCCCTGTGAACACCTGTCATGAGCTATTCCTTAGGAAAAGAACACTTCCACCCAATACTTTGGATCCTGCTGTGTTTTGTGTCCCTCCTCAAAGAGTCCCAACATGCATCAGTGTTCTGAAGCCTCCAAGGAAGCACAGCATTTGTTTTGTCAAACACTACAAACACTACACTACTACATTTTTATTTTGTAATCCTCTGATGAAATGCAGAACTCACTGTAGGAAATTCCAAGCTACAGTTGCTTGCTACCTTTATTCTCTAGAATATGCTTATGTTTTAGGTCTAAAATGCACACCCGCCCCCCCCAGAGTCGCATATACTTAGAGGTGGAAACTGGCTAGAAGAGTAGGTCACTGGGAGTGTAACCTGCAAGATGCCTCATCTCTGGCTCCTCCCTTTGCTCTCTGCTGCCTGGCAACCATGACAGGAGCATCTTTCCTCCGCCACACCATGCCAGCCCTGGAGCCAGCCTACCATACGTGGGCAGAAGGCCCCGGGACCAAGGGCCAAAGTAGACCTCTTTTCTCTAAATTGTAGGTGTCTGGGTTTTGTGTCAGCAAGAGAAAAGTGACTAATTGAAACACCAAGGAGGTGGATGGTGGTTTGGGGAGGATCTGTCATCTGTGTCATGGTACCTTTACACAATGCCTACTTTTTTGGTTTTGATGCTTAAGAGTTTTTCCAAACATTAAAGTATCGAATGGATATGGCATTCATATTTAGTGACTTTTCAAAAGTGATATTTTAAATTTACATATTTGTTTTCTTTTTTACTGTCCACCCCATTTATTTTCCTTCTGGATGTGTTCATTGCATTCTTACTGAACACCTTGCATGTGCAAGGTATCAGGATGTTTGCTCCCTGCCCTCGGAGGATCATAGTCAGCAGGGGCAGTCTCGGTTCACTGCCACAGACTTGGACAAAATCCTTAGAAGGCACCTTGGAGAGAGCAACTGACTGTAAGGATAGCTGAAGGAATCCTTTAAGAAGGGCTTTTTGAGTTGGGTTTCACTGGATGAACAGGAATTGAGCCAGTGGAGTGAAAAATGCACATATCCTAGAGAAAAGAGAGAATTTCAGAGGAGTATTGAAATTTAAAAATTTTGTACAGCTTGATAAAGTGTTTCCATCTTAATCTATAAATATCTGGGAGCTTCCATAGAAAAGTTTAAAGGAGAGAATTGGAAGAGCTGATTTTTCTCACTTTCTGTAATACTGAGGCAAAAATATGGAAGATAGGTGTCCGAACATGCGTATGAGA